GTTACACAATCATTTCTATTTAATTCAGATTCTCTAATATATTTGACATTTAATGTTGTATTTGGATTCCTTTACGTCATCAGATTCGTATCTTCAACTTCTTCTGATCTTTAATCTTTAAACGACTCGAATAGGTACGAGACTCGTACCTATTTTAGTAACGGTCCACACCTATGTTGCTTTCTTTTCCCCCTGTCTGTTGTCGCCCGTGCCTCTTGGCTATTCATTGCGTTTTGACCTTTTGACCAGTCCACGTGTCATGACACGTCATCTTCAATATTTAGACTCAGTTTTTTTCCAATACAATCAGCTAATTGATCAACACGTTTTCCTCCACATTCAAAGTCTTTACCGGTAACATCATGTAGAATCTCCAGTAACAAGTTCTTACGTGAATATACTTGAGACACACAACATTGTGCACGAATGTCAAAGTGAGAAACAACTAACTTGTCAGAGTAGAGTCTGCAGGCTAGAGTCGTCTTGCCTAGACCCGGCATGCCGGTTATCGAGATAACATCTCGCCCTTTGGTTCCTCTTATTAGTTGGTCTCTTAATTTTTCTCTGACATCCTCAAATCCCACAACTTCATCATTCATGATTGTAGACCTTGCTAAACTTGATGGTGTTTGACTTTTGCCAGTATTGTTCATTGCTTCCTCAACTATCTTTTTTCCTTGAATCTCTGCTACCTCTGCTCTGATAAGAGTAATCTCCTCCATGATATCCAAGAGCCAACGCTCGAGGCACCAGATAGGAGCTTCTTTGCTTATACAAGCATCAACTATGTATTCTACCTCATCTGCTTTGTCAATCAATTGTGTCGCACAATGTTGAATTTTGTTGAGGACATTGTTTCGCTCTTTTGCAACAGCATTTAGAAAAGGTTGCAAGCCCTCAAGTTCCTTCTGAATTATTTGAAGTTGGTTCGTGAAAGAAGCTAGTGAATCTGAATGGCGGCGTTGGAACTCCTTCAGTTTGTTTAAAAGGAAATCAACATAGCCTAGTCCATGCATCCTTGGCAATTTAGATTGAAATGCCTTCCGAATGGTAAGGTAGATCATTGTGTTTATACGTTGAATGTTGCCTGACGAATCAAGAACTAGTGAAGGGTTCCCTTCTCGCAGTGCCTCGTCTTCCTTCTCCTCCTCATCTTCATATAACGAATAAACCAGAAGTCCAACATCAATAACCACAGTGTCGATATCTTGAAGAAGAAACTGAAGATCTTGTATCGGCACACAGATGATATTGGCTCTCAAGAAGTTGAGCATCTCCTGAAAGATTGCCAAGTGGTTCTTCAAAGCAACTATCCGACTGGAGTTACTATTATTTGGTAGATCTACCAAATTGTGTAGAATAGTTGCCACAAAACTGCCTTCACTGTCAATTGCATGCTCACTTCGAATGTTGGGATACCATCCTGGTTGTATCGTGGACTTTAAAGATTGCAAGACATCAACATAGATCTTGCGGATTTATGGTTGAACGGGCTTAATTTTCATTTACAAGAAAAGCAAAACCATGATCTCACCTAGAGCCACATCTTGATTTTCGTAGCCATGGCCTGAAAAATACAACCAGGCAAGCATTGATGCATGGCCGACCACAGTTAAAACATGAGAGAAGAAATCAAGACGTTGGCTCTGAGGTTCTATGTGTAAGATAGTTTGTTATTGGCAAGTTGGAAGTGGGACGTTTCTTTCTCGTACCGTGCCTGTTAGCCTCGGAACTGATCATTATGAAATAGCACATAACAGGCACGAGATTGTCTCAACAGGCACGAGACTGACTCAACAGGCA